TATCTGGCCTTCATGCTTAACATGCTTGAAATGAAAATTTGAGTGAAGATTATTTGAAGAAACCCGAAATGGTTTCTTCACAACACTTATGTACCCATAAGATGTTTGTGAATAATAATAATAATAATAATAATAATAATAATAATAATGGGATTACAATAATAATAATAAAACGATCCGTGGTAATAGCCGTTGGTTAATAACTTATATAAGTATAAGTAGTAATTATTTTGTGTTTAGAAATATTAAAGTAATGAATAGTGTAGAAATGTTAATATTGGTATTAGTTTTGGTTTAAATTATGAAATCAAATAACGATTATGCCGGTAAGTTTTCCATATGAGTTGATTTCCAATCGCATCTGTATTAGTAGGCTAACTGAAAGAACAAAAGTATTAACGTGGAGAAGAATTCCAACTAGTGTTCCAGTTAGTTTGATACGGTTTATTTAGTTACGGGGAGATTTTCCCAACCTCATTTTTACTTGACCGTGATAGAATTTAGTAATATTACTAATAGACATGAATGGTTATGAAAACAAAATTTAAATACGTTAGTGATAATTATATGAATTTTGGACAGATAGCTAGGAAAAAATCGTTAAACATGAGTGTATTCGTAAGAGACATGCTCTAGACTCAGTGTTCTGATCTGCGATAGAATATTTATTTATATTTACACTTGCCGGCTGATTGGGCATACAAGTTAGTTGCAAGTATGCAGTTTATCATAAGGCGGAATACGATTTAATTGAGATATAGTGATTAGCGGCACTTGTGAAGTCATTAGCTGTAAGTTGGCAATAGGATGTAGTACATTTATGCTAGGTGTCATCTATCGGAGCCCAATCTGCTTAGCTGATGACTTTGGTTTAGAGCACATTCATCTTTGGAGTGATAATACCAGGTGCTTGATAATAGGAGACTTTAACGCACCTGATATTAGTTGGACTGATATGACCACAGAAGGATCTATAAACTCCTTTGATAGTAGGTTACTGATAACAATAATGGAGCATGCACTAGTGCAGCATGTATCCCAACCCACACGTTTTGGTGTTAACCAGGGTTCTTCTCTGCTGGATTTGGTAATCACTCATGAGACTGTGGATATTGTCTACTTAAATATTCTTCCACCGTTAGTAAACAGCGATCACGCTGTTTTGTCATTCGCGTTTAGAACTAGGGACATGTTATACGATCAGGTTACACCGCGCCCAAATGTATGGAAAGCTAACATATCAGCCATTCAGGAATGCGCTGCCAAGACAGATTGGTTAGTAGATACTAGCATATCAGTTGAAGAAGCATGGTCTGTATTTAAAGGTAAATTTAGACTAGTTACGTCCCCGTTCATACCATACCTGGTACCGCGAAGACCGAATAATAGTCCACCATGGATAACTAAAACGGTCAGGAAACTCCTTAGAGAAAGGAAGAATCACTGGAATATGTTCATCTCTACTGGCTTAGAACAATACAGATCCAGTTATTGTAAGATTAGGAATGCCTGTAAAGCGTTAATAAGCAAGACTAGACATTCATACGAAAAACAATTGGTTAGGGATTCTAGATATAGTCCGAAACGGCTATTCTCGTATATAAAAAGGCGAACTAAGAGAAGCGATGGAATTCCATCACTTTCGATACGAGACAATCCGTTAATCTTAGCAGAGAATGATGCCGAAAAAGCTGAAGCTTTATCGGAATATTTTAGTAAAGTGTTTTCTATCGGTAATGAGGAACGACCAATGATTCATTGTGACCGTGATGGCTCGCTGATGGATCCTGTAGTCATTGAGAAAGATACTGTTTTAAGGCTACTTCAGCATCTCAAACCTGATAAGTCCAGTGGTCCCGATGATATTCATCCTAGGATTATGAAAGCCATATCAGATGGAATTGCTGAACCACTAGCGATACTATTCGACATGTCTCTGAGACAGTCCAGACTTCCTAGAGACTGGAAAGACGCCATAATAAGTCCGGTGTATTAGGCTGGGAGTAGGGATTTAGTTAGTATCTATAGACCCGTTAGCTTAACTAGTGCAGTTGTGAAACTGATGGAGAAAATCATTCGGATAGCTGTTATAAACTATGTTGAAGGGCAAAATCTTTTCTCCAGGGCACAACATGGTTTTCGGAAAGGCCTATCTTGCTTGACAAATCTTCTCACTGCACGAGAAGAGTGGGCTGCGGCAAAGGATCGGAATGCTCCTGTGGATGTAGTTTTCATAGATCTAAGTAAAGCCTTTGATAAGGTTTCACACTCTGGTCTTAAATTCAAACTGAAACGTTTTGGAATCCATAGCACAGTCGTCGATTGGATAAGTAACTTTCTCCATGACAGGAGACAAAGGGTAAGGGTTAATGGGGCTCTCTCCTCGTGGGTACCTGTAAAAAGTGGGGTTCCCCAAGGCACAATCCTAGGTCCTCTTCTCTTTTTACTTTATGTAAATGAATTGCCAACTGTAGCAAAATCATCCGTTCTACTCTTTGCTGATGACAAAGATTTGGAGACCCATACATAGTATGTCGGATAGAATAGTATTACAGGACGATCTTAGCTCATTGGTGGCATGGTTAGACAGGTGGTCACTAGAAGTAAATCCTAATAAGAGTGTAGTGATGCAGTTAAATAACTCTGATGAATCGTATGACTATACACTACGTGGATTCATGCTACCCAAAGCAAGAAACTATAAAGACTTAGGAGTTATTTTAAGCAATGATCTCAAAACGACTAGTCACTGTAAGGCTGCTGCTGCAAAAGGCTATAGGGTATTATGGTCAATTCGTAGGTCTTTTCAGTATTTAGATGATGAAATGTTTGGATTACTATATCCGATTTATGTGCGACCACATTTAGAATACGGGATTCAAGCAGCGAGTCCTTGTTTCAAATATGAAGCAGATATGCTAGAAAGAGTCCAACGACGAGCTACTAAGATGGTACAAGGTCTATCTGGCCTATCTTATGAAGACAGACTGAGACACCTTAACTTATTTCCGTTATCTTACCGTAGAGTACGGGGTGATCTAATATTGGCTTATCGTATACCGAACGATGACCTTTGTATTAACATGTCTTATCTTTTGCTTCCGTCTAGAACCGATCATTTGAGAGGACATTCGAAGAAAGTTCAAAAACCGAAATCAAACTGTTTACGTCTGGAGTTCCGTTTCTCGCACCGAGTAGTGAATTACTGGAATTCCCTACCGGAACACGTAATATCCGCACCGTCTGTTAATATATTCAAAACGAGATTGCACCTCCACAGTATTACAAACTGCAAGGATTAATATAGGTCGACAGACCTCCTATCCTTATTGCTGAAGACTGAAGACTGTTTTGTGTTCATCTTTAAAGATTGTGTGGTTATGGTTCAATTCCACTACAAGCCTTTCTTACTCCACCCTCCCTCGTTGAAAGACAGCATCGCTGTTATACTGGTTGTTTGAGGTAAACACCTTACTGCCGTCACACTTCTATGCAGTCAACAGCACGACTTCACCTTCGTACCTTGGATATGCTGTTCTTAGTCCTATCATTTTTCAACCAATCTACCAGGTGTGGTAGGCTGATCAGCCTATTACGACCGACAAGTCCGAATACCACGTCAAAGTAGCAGCCACGGTCGGGTGTGGCAACTTGAACCGATGCTTATATGCGCCCGGTCCTACGTTGTAGTTGACTGACTGACTGTGAGTGATAAAGCAAAGGATATAATCTAACCTGGACTCATAACATTATGAATACACTATGAAATCATCTAAAATGCTTTCTAACTGTTCATATCATCCACGTAATGGGGTATATTTACAAACTGAGAGTTCAGAATTCTCGGTTGGGTTGTCGGTACACCGATGACATATTGTTGGTAATCCCTTAAGGCAGCTTCCTGCAGCTCTAAGAAGTCCGATAAACTTATACGGTGTCACATGAAAAAAACTTTTTTAGAAGGAAAAACAGTGCGTCTTACGTGAGCTTGCCTAACGTTTTTATATCCTTGCTTCTTTTCATATACTCTAACTAGAGATTTTGGTGATCTTTTGCATCTAGATACGGTAGAGAGCTTGGCAAAAATCTCTTTTCTGTACACGACTTTCTGATGCACCTGATTACCTGGCACTTCTATCCTTCTACTTTCCATTAGTAGTTTAGTCCGGCCGCAACCGTTCCAGACTCCTTTTAACTTTACATACTACTGAAAACAGTTCTTTCGCATGGTCGAATGCACTTGAAAGCCATCTATTAGGAGTCTAATATTAAGTACTTTGGGATGGTTTGATATCAGACAGTCTGAGTCAGCCATCAAAGCGAAGTGTGAACTGTGTGGATTAATGTATCATTTTATTGCTAGATGAATTATCGTCTGAGTATGTATGATCCGAAGATTCTATGCATTAACACAGCCTTACAGACATACAGGTATATGATAATAGAAGCCAGTAAGGGTTTACAGAATAGCCAACAGGATCAAAGTAACAATTATCTTATGATTCTGTTGGTCTATACTACTTAAGACAAGTGCAGGGTCACTTTGTAGTATGATCTCCGTATTTAAAGTGAATAACTTCAGGTTACTAAGTCGCTTCATATACTTTGTTATCCGTTTAAAGACATCGATAATCCCTGATCACTAGACACGAAAGATCGATGAATTAAGCAATAATTACTCGCTTTTACCGAGATTTGAAAAAAATTATTATGGTTTAGTGAATGTGGCTTCATCTATTAGTACGAACGGTCAGATCTGCCCAGGAACAATTTTTATCTCTAAATCGATCGGAACACCTATCTTTATAAGTCAAAGGCTAAGTCTCCAGGATCATTATCTTAGGTAAATTTTAGAAAAGTCGAAATAAGTGAGATTAAGCACAAAGCATGAAAAAATCAACGTGTATACCACGACATAAGTGGTTGCCCATTTTCTAAGAAAATGATATTATTATCCCGATGAACCAAAAGATTCACGTTTCTTAAGCATACGTTTCAGGTTTAATTATAGTGCGTTACTTCACAAGGTTCCGTCAACCGCGGTTGGATTGTTAGCCGTCGTCTGTAGGCAGTTCCAAGTGGAGGTTGTATCTGTCGTAAAGGTTTCGAAAGTTAATATAGGCTGTTTAGCTACCCGTGTTTACGATTGAGGGCTGATTTTGTCATTTGATGGTGCGAATAACATCGTTGAAGCTTCTTCATGTTCAATCACTTCTTTGCATATTTTATATTTCATCCTTTATTTTCGGGTTGTTCGTCCCTTTGGTGGTAGATTTACTGTCTCTTCCTTTTTCGAGTATACATGACATTTACAGGCTTTTCACTTTCCACTTAGTGACAGATGAGATTTGTGTTTTCATTTTTACAATTCTGGCCATTTTTATTTATGCAAAGCTTGTATTTCATGTATGGAGCAGAACTGAAATACTTTTCTTCTATTGGTTCGTAAATACAAGTGCCGGAATACTTGCGATTTTCCCAGAGATTTTCTTTGGTAATAACATTTTTGTCAAACGTATCAATGGGAATTCTGCATTTTTGTCTTCTGTACTCGTAGTTCTTATCCAACTAAGTATGAATCAATCACTTGTAAAGATCAGGGGTTTTGACTTTAAATCTCAATATGGTCTCCCCGCTGTGTCGATTACATTTTTGTGTTTGTGGACAGTAGGGTTTATCAGGCTCTCTTCTGGTATTTTGTTTTGTTATGGGATCCTGTGTAGTTGGTGCTACCTTCGCTTTCTGCAACGTCATCCTCAAGGAAGGAGAGGCGATTATCGTCCAGTATTCGCGTTCGCTAGGTTCGCATAAATTTTTATTCCATATTGTTTGCACTATTTTTAGTTGGTTGTCCTCCGGTGAAATTAGTGTCACTATACCCGCATACATTTCTGCCAAGTTAACGTACCGATCATTATGCGGTTTGCTAAGCTTGTTAGTGTTAATCTTTCTATGTATGTGTGGGTTGAAACTTTGTTTTCATCTGCCGAATCTGACATTCAGAATGATTAGTCATTTTCTAATTTAATGTGTTTACCTGCTCAAAAATTGATTTTCACTTGCCCCCATAGTTTTATTTTGGCAATATCTTTTATTTCAATCATTCACTATCCGAGTACATTTCAGAAGTCATCATAAGGTATTCATTATTTTTATTCATATAAAGAACGACTTCTGGTACTTTAGGACACTTGTAAGAAATACACCATAAATGATATTGTAAAAAGTAAATGAAAGAAGGGTAGTACAATCAATAATAATAGTATTCACTCAGTCATAAATTTTAGTTAGAATTCAACCAAGAAGAACTTCCAATTCATAATAGTGATATCAATTTTATGAAAGTAATAAAAAACAATGACAGGGTCACCATCGGTTTCTATCTTAAAATATGTTTAATAACATCTCAATTTATCAAGCTATTTTAATGTTAGTTGCTGAAATTCTGGAGGTACAATTTTATGTTAATCTCTTTCATAAACTCAACACCAATCCGTTGTGAAATTATTTGTACAAATCTAGACGGAAGTTTCCACACAACAAATTCTCACTTTTTTCAGTTTATTAGCAAACTGAACTATCTTGTTCATATAATGTGGAAATGCTAAGACGTGTAATTCTGTTACTGTATTTATTCTTCCAGTGAATATTTCGGCTTGGTCGGTATATTTACGATGTTTGTTTTAAAATGAGCATAGTTTTGGCTGTTTACTTTCTCATTGAGAATTTATGACTTTAAAAAGGTGACTGCTAAACTTCATATCTATATATTGCTTATCATTTCAACATTAATACAATGGACAATTTTGTTTATTTCTTAGACTCTTCCCCGAACCAATAGACAAAGTAGTCTCGATTCCTTCCAACGTTTTTTATCAACTTCTACTTCGAACCAAGTTTTGTCCTGGACTAAAAAGAGAAAGTGAAGTTACTGTAGAACCTTTACTGACCCTCGGCCCACATGGAATGATATCTTCTGATCCAGAACGGCATCGGTAAGTTTCGTTAGTATAAATATTATTTAGTGGACGATAGGCTACTGTATTAATAATGTCGATATTTTTGTGTACTGACAATTCTAGTTCATTTCTATGAAGTGTTTATGTGACAATACACGTTATGTTTCTCACATTGACTTATGTGTGAACAGTGAAGAATGAAAATCTTTTTAGCACTGGAACTATTTTACTTTCCTTGGAGTCGCGCAGTCTAGTCTGGGTAAATTGATTCTTTCATTGTTTCTCCACAACGTTAGCACTTCAGATAAAAAGTATCTGTTCAAACTACTAGATCTAAAAACTTATCTCCACTAAAATTATCCTCCTAACCTACAAGTCCTTTTTCCATTTTAAAGCTGGTTTACTGCATTTGTAAAACCAGTGGACATTTAATATTACCAGTCATTTGACTAAATTCCTCAGTAGAAAATGCACAGATCATTAGAAATCGGCAGTAACAATGACATTCCGATTTTGCCTTATAGACTAATTCTTACTGTTCTTATGAGACTTAACTATCTAATGTTAATGACAAAAAACTAGTAATTTGCCCCTGGATCCTTGAAGGCGTAACCTCACCCACTTTTATGCAAGGTTTAAAATTTCTCCCACCTATGTCTACTTTTTAAGCATATATAATGTTCAGTATGGAATCAGTGAAAAGAATGTATGCACATTAATCTTACAAACATATTTTAGGCATGTGAGTAGTAGTTTTGATATGTCATCTTGCAAAATCATCATATGTATTTTGAATTTATAACAATTTTATCGCGGTGATTATTGTCCGGTATATACCGAACCGTAGCTGCTACCTTGATGCGGTGGTCGGGCTTGCCTATCGTATTGACCCAACCGAGCTGTATTGGCTGGAACATATGTTCCTGTAGGTTCTATCATGCCATGCAGGTCGATTGGAGAACGTTAAGACTAAAAGCAGCAACTGAAGGTCTGAGGGCGAAGTCGTACTGCTGACTGTAGAGGGCTGTGACAGCAGTAAGGTGTTTTCCTCCTACGACCAGCATCTGCAGCGATGCTGTCTTCCCACAAGGAGGGGTGGGGTTAGAAAAGGTCGACCCTAAAAATGTCACACCTCACCTTATCTCGCGGTTTTCCGTCTCCGGCGGTAAGGCCCTTTAAAGAACGGAGCTAACATGTTTGAGACCTCCCACGAAAAGGTCGTGCGCGACCGGCCTCAAACAGTTATCTCTTGGGCTCTGCGGTCACACTCCCAGGTCGTTAAGACCAACACTAATCCGACTTCCTTTCCAGGTTCCTCAAGAAATACCCTTCCACGGTGTGGGCAGCCGGGAAGTGATATCAGCCCACATACTCGTAACAGCGCATGAGACAAAGTTTGGTCACGTTCAACTCCTTCCTACACCTCCTAATACCTGTCTTATCTCCACGACTAACCCTCCTCACGTCCCTTTATCACCTCTCACCGCTAGTGCAAACGATTCGAGTACGCGGAACGTTATTCCTGACCTACTGAAACCACTCTCTAAACTACACGTAGGAGCTTTTAACGTCTGAACACTGTGCCAAATAGGACAACAGGCTTCCTCAGTTGGTACTTTAGAATCTCGTGCCATCGATGTGTGCTGCGTCTCCGAAACGCGCATACAGGATCCAAGTAGCGTCATTCATTTGACCTCACCATGCCAAAATAAAGAACCGACTCGATTTACGCTTCGTGTATCTGGAAGCCCTGATTGTGCTTCCTGTGGCCTCGCCGGCGTAGGTATAGCATTGTGTCCTAGGGCAGAACTAGCTATGTTAGACTGGATCCCAGTAGACAGTCGTTTGTGCGCTGTCCGACTGAACGGAACGGTAAGAATCCGGAAAGATAGGGACACTCGTCGTTGCCTATTCGTCGTCTCTGCCTATTCTCCCACTGACTGCAGCTCAGATGATGTAAAAGATGAGTTTCACAGAAAGCTTTCCGACCTCCGAAAAGCTAGGCGCTCTTATGTAGTAATAGTGGCTGATGACTTTAATGCTCAAGTAGGTTAACTAAGCAAAAGGGAAAGACACCTGCGTGGATATTATGGTGCCGTGACTCAAAGAACAGATAATGGCGACCGTCTGTTACAGCTATGCTTAGATAACCGCCTGTTTCTTGCAAACACTAACTTTAAGCATAAGGAAAGGCATCTTTTGACATGGCGACCCCCTAATTCGTCCCAACGTTGGACCCAAATAGTTCACATCGCTATCAGCCACCGATGGAGGGGCTCGATAGAAGACTGTCGCTCATTCTGGAGCACATGCTTAAATTCAGGTCATGCTGTAGTGCGGGCTCGTATTTTATTGCGTCTTACTGGACGTAGGAAAGATGCTGCAAGGAAACCTCTTAGGGCCCTACTTAATGATAGTCAAGCTAAGAGTATATTTGGGGAACAACTAGGAAAACAGTTAGTCAGCCATGTATGTGATGCCCACCCCGATGCAGCATGGAATGATATCCGAAAAGCTGTGGAAACAGCAGTGGTATCTGCTAGTATGGTAAACCAAAAGGTTAGGGAGAAACACTGAATCTCAGCTGCATCTACCGCACTGATAGATGCTCGAGAACTCATTCCATCTGGTTGTGAACATAACGAAGAGCGGAGTCAGCTTAAGCGCAAGCTGACAAGAAGTCTACGCAATGATCGCGAACAGTGGTGGGTAGCGAAAGCAAGAGAGATGGAAAAGGCAGCGGCAATAGGTAATAGCAGACAACTCTTTCGACTTGTTAAGAAAACTGGTATTAGGAACCCAACTGTTAGTGAAACTCTCGGAAAAAAATGGACACACTATTCACTCTTAATCCGTGAGATTGGATAGATGGGCAGAACACTTTAGGGATCAGTTCAACTGACCTTCAGCCACTCTTCGGTTTCCCACGATCACTAGTCAACCTGAATGGCAAGTTAATGTAAGTCCTCCGTCCCTTTACGAAGTAGCAAAAGCCAACCGAGCCTTCTGGATTTGTGCCGAGATTTCGCCAGACACCAGACCAGCAGTACCGAGACTCCCAAGATAAGTGAAGTGATCGATGCGTTCAACTACTTCACCGCTCTCTATCACTAATTCAGGTGATGGCGCAAGTCAATTTTGAAGTAAGATCTTGTATCTAAACGGAGAGAACCGCATCTCAAACATACTTAGACTGTTGTTAAGCTGGTCTGAAGACTGCATTTTATGTCTTCACTAAACAGCTATATCATATGCGTATTCTAAATCAACCAGTGAGCTTCCTGGTAGAAGATCATACCTGGAAAGTCAGATGATGGAATACTCTCACACAGCCTCTACCAGGGAAGTCCTACTCACTGCCCTCTCTTGGCGGGGGTGTTGTTTACGAAAATGAGAGGACGAAAAGTGAATGTCCGGAGCTTTAACCGGATCCCAAACCAAATCAATGGTGCACATGGGCTCCAGTATCCTGCAGGAACAAATGGAGTATGAACCAATTTTCGGTCACCGGCTACCATGGGACTGCATCTCCTTACGATGCTCCACTGCCTTATGGGTTAGACCTTTAGGTCAAAGGCTCGGGGTGTGGCCCCCGAAGATAACCACCTGCTTCGGTCTGGGCACCCGGGCAGTATCACAGCCCACACACAGATGATGAACTGTCTATAATTATGGAAACTACTTTTCTTGCTTCAACTGACAATCAAATGATTCAAATTATTATTATTATTATTATTATTATTATTATTATTATTATTATTATTATTATTATTATCTTCAAACTTAGTTAACACGCTGGCCGATGGAGACTCGTTGGTCGTAGGTCAGATAACGGGGACCGTCTACTGCAACTATGCACAGACCACAATCTGTTCCTGGCTAGCACTAACTTTCGGCACAGTCATCGCCGATGTGCCACCTGGCGTCCTCCCTCTGCATCTCAAGCCTGGACTCAGATTGATCACATCGCGATCAGCTACCGCTGGCGTGGTTGTGTACAAGACTGCCGCTCCTTTTGGAGTACCTATCTGGACTCTGACCATGCCTTGGTCTGCGCCAATCTTACCTTACTTTTCAGTGGCCAACGAAGTGATCGCCACCAACGGATTGATGTTAGCAAGCTGGTTGCAACTTCTGTTGCTAGTAAGTATCGAACCGAGCTAGTTTCTAGACTAGCATTGGTTGCAATTGCATGACGCCATGAAAATGGTGGGTACAGTCAGTTGCGGGTACGCGAGACGTCCCGCCTATAAGCACTGGGTTTCTTCAGGCTCCTTACAACTCATTGAAGCCCGTCGGTCTACTCCGGGTGACCATGAGTTTGACCATAAACGAAGGATGTTAGGTGAGGAAATTGGCCAAAGCTTGCGTAAGGACCGAGAAGCCTGGTGGTCGGAGCGTGCTAATGAGCTGGAAGCAGCAGCTGCATCTGGTAATTACCGGAAACTCTTCCAGCTCATCCGAGCCACTGGCAGCAAGAAGTCTGGTGTGAGCGAAACAACCTGCGACAATGATGGGATGCCAATCACTAACATCCACCAACGTCTTGGACGGTGGGCAGAATTTTTCGAAGGGCAGTTCAACTGGCCTGCTGCTCCGGCAACATCGATCAGACTGTCCTGCCCTCCATGGCCGTTGACGACTGATCCAGCAAATGAGGCGGAAGTTCGCAAGGAACTCCAACTCTTGAAGCGCTACAAATCACCTGGCCCAGATGACTTACCTCCGGCTCTTTTTAAAGATGGTGGTGACTTTCTGACTAAGGAACTGACGACGTTGTTTACAAACGTTTGTGAACTAGAGAGTGTACCAACGTCATGGAATAAGTCGATAGTTGTCCCTATCTTTAAAAAGGGTTCACGTCGTTCCTGTAACAACTATCGGGGGATAAGTCTACTTCCGATTGCGTTCAAGCTATTGGCTTCCATCATACTTCGTAGGTTGTTCAAAAGCCGAGAAAGATTGACTCGCGAGGAGCAGGCTGGGTTTCGTTCTGGTCGAGGATGTATTGATCATATCTCCACCCTCCACTAAATGTTAGAACACCGTCATACTTATCACAGACCAACAAATGTAGTGCTAATTGATATCAGGGCTGCCTTCGATTCGTTGGACAGGACTGTTCTCTGGGATTGTCTATTGAAGAAGGGTGTGCCTGAGAAGTTTATTAACATCCTAAAAGCCCTATATGCAAACACCTCAGGCAGAGTGAGGGCATGCAACCACCTTTCTCCGTTGTTCCATTCGAGCAGCGGGGTTAGGCAGGGTTGCCCAATCTCACCATTTCTCTTCAACTTTGCCATCGACGACATTCTGGAAACAGCTCTGGTGGATGTAAGTAATGGTGGTGTGGATCTGTTGCCTGGAGAAAGACTTCTCGACCTTGAGTATGCGGACGATATTGTCTTACTGTGCGATAATACCCAAGGCATGCAATCCGCACTTAATCAATTGGCAATCAGTGTCCGTAGGTACAGTATGTGCTTTGCACCTTCGAAGTGAAAAGTACTTCTACAAGACTGGCAGGATTCCAATCCTGTACTCACCCTGGATGGTAAGCAGATAGAAGTAGTCGAGAAGTTCGTGTATCTGGGTAGCTGCATAAGTGCTGGTGATGGTGTGAGTGATGAGATCAATGCACGTATAGTGAAAGCCAGAGCGGCATATGCCAATCTGGGCCATCATTGGCGCCTTTGTTATGTTAGTCTGGCTGTCGGTGAGAGCAGTTTTACTCTATACTTGTGAAACCTGGCCTCTCCGAGTTGAGAACGTTAGACGACTCTCTGTGTTCGATCATCGTTGTCTCCGAAGGATTGCTGATACCCAGTGGCAACACCAAGTAGTAATGCAGAGGTTCGGCATCGTGTGTTTGGGCACAGAGACGATAATGCAATTGGTGTTACCATCTTGAAACACCGACTTCGGTGGTTTGGACATAATCTACGAATGTCGTCCCTGAGAATTTAACGTCGTGCATTATTTGCTGACTCTGGGACTGGTTGGTAAAAGCGGAGAGGTGGTCAGTATATGACATGGTGTCGTGGTATGAAGAGCTGCAAAGGACTGGCTTGTGTTGGTCCTTCTCGACTCCCTGGCTGGGGTCCGAGAGATGGTGCTACACAGTGGCTAGAGACGTTATCAGATATGGTTCAGAATAAAGACCAGTGGCGATCCTGCTGTTTTAACCTTCATTTACTTTATTCATAAAAAGTGGTTGTAACTTCCTGAACTGAAAGAATTCTTTTGGTTTGTACCTTTCCGTTCCCCCATTATTGCCATTATTATTATTACACTGCCTTACAGCAATCTCTTCGTTGTTCTCTTTTTTAACGCTACTTGCCTTTTTTCGTTTTCCTTCTCTTTAAATTCTCATTGTTTTTTGTGGCGCACTCTTGTGCCAATATTTATGTGTTCAAATAAATAAATAATAATAAAATCATGAAAGTGTACTCTCTAAAAACATGTCTGTGACAGAGTTGAATCAAATTGAGGAGAGCGGACAACCCTGACGAACATCACTTGAAGTAATCAATTCCGATGAAAGTTTCCCATAAGCTCTGACGACCAATAGTGTTCGAGTAGAGAGCCTGTACATGGTTAATGTACTTCTTTGCTACGCCCTTCAATAACAGACATTGCCACAAAACCTAATGATCAATTTATTCGAATGCCACCTTGAGGTAATGGAATATAATTAATCGGATGTCGGAAAGTATGTCTTTTTTTCCAGAACGTGCGGAAGGTTGGATATTTAATCTTTGCATCCACGTCCAGGTTTAAAACCAGTCTGGTTTCCTCGGATTTTGTTTTCACGAGCTCTCGGTAAATATCGAAGTATTATTGAGGCTAATATTTTAGACACTATATTAGTTGAATTGATTTCTCTGTGATTTTCACAAGGGGTTTTTTGTCGTTTCTTATGAACTGGGATGATTAGCGATCAAGATCAGTCAAATGGGATTACGTCTAGTTGCAGTTGAACTCTAAGGGTGCTCGAACCAGATCATGATTCAAGTCCAAACATGTGCTTCAGAGTGAGTGTTAGTCTTCTGCCGAACCCCTCCAACGGTGGTTGATGGCAGTGTGATCTATTTGAGTTCGTCGTTGTGGGGGTCGCTACGTGTGGTAGTTTCTCGTTATGTTTAAACTTGGTCTTTGCTAAAAATAGAGTTACCTGAACATAATTGCAATAGACGTTCTCCATTATCTGTTCGCTGAGTCGCAACACCGTAAGATCCACCTAAGTGCCTTTCGGCTTGGTATTTTTACTTACTTGAGGATTTAAGTCACTCGTCACTATTACGTTTAGGTTTGTGGATGAAGTTGGATAGCTTCCCATAAAATTCATCTGTAACTTCATCCGAGCTGCGATCACTGGAAGCTTAGGCAGAGACCACGAAAAGGTAACGTCTTGTATCCCCATTTCCCCGAGTCCCGTTTAGTCGGGCGGTGCACAAGTGACTGTCTGTTGAAATCCAATCTAACAGAGCCTACTCTGCTTTTAAACCCAATGCTATAACTACACCAGCGAGTCCACAAGAAGTAGAATTGGGGTCTCCACATACTCAGGGGGGGGGGCAAATCATGCTGGTTATAATCTTATTATTTTCTTGTTATTTTATTTCTGTTAGGCATTACTACTATTATTTATTCACATATATTCTATAGTGTAATTCTCGTTTCCCCCCTTCCTACCTGTTACATTAGGCGCATTGCTCTGAAGGCTCTAAATGAACGCTTCGCGAAAGCTGGTGTTTCTTCAAGGACACCAAATGAAGTCATCGAATGGCCAAGCCTGATCGATCCTGATGACACACAAAAGGCGGATAACAACAAGTCAGATGAATCTAGTGTGATCATCGAGTTGCCAGCTATTACGAATCCTTCAAGTACTGATACTTTAAACACATTAAACTCATCTAATGTGTGAATCTTGAGCTAAGGAGATAGTTTTTATACAATTTATGTGTGAGATCCTAGGTTTTGTACCGTAGTTTTGACTTATTTTGTTCACTTTATTCATCCAATAACTTCTTTACACTTGGTTTTTTATATTGTAAGTTCTGTTTGCTTAAACATAAAGTCATGTATTTTGTTACTAGCTTAAGTGTCTTTTTCCTTGTGTTATTTTTATGATTTTTGATTAAATATTTTGCTTCAGAGACCTTATCAAGCTCACTAGTGGGACAGTAGTAGTAAATGAAACTGCTAACGGAGGTCAAGATGTAGAGTTAAATCCAGTAACTTGTTTTAATTTATTCAGAATGAAGAATATATCTAAACTGCATTACGAATAGGTTTTGAGTTGTTAATGTAACAAAAGTAATAACTTGTTCTTCCTGCCATTACGGCTTTATCATGACCAACCTATACTCCCTATCTGTAGACAGATGATACACTGCTTTTCTAGTTTGTTTTTTTACTACCGTCCAGTCTATTTTGATGGGTATTTGGTGGGCTTATATAACTTTTCGTTGCCTTGGCAACTGCGGATTCACTACCCCATTATCTGAGTCTCTTCTTGTAGGCAACTTAGTTGAAATTCTGTTCCTAACCAGTCAATTTAGATGGTCTATATAAGGAGGTATAGAATTCTTCAGTAGTGTTCTCCGGTAGTTGTTGGGGACGTTTCGGAACTGCTGAGAGTAGATAACGGTAACAAAGCTTCATTCACTTGTAATCTGAGTCATCGGTTTGATCCTTATATAGAAACTGAGGTACAATCGTTATCGCAAAGCTTTCGAAAATCGTTTTGGTGTTTCTTCAGATGTCGATTTCGTTTTCTATGTTGAGTTTACTCAAATGGTTTGAGCTGTGTTGGTAGGTTATATATTAAATGAAGCACTATCTGTTCTCATTTCGACAATTTTGAACTGCAAGATTAAGAGGATTACAAGATTTAAACTATAAATTAGGGGGCTGATGAACCACAGACTAGTTTCATCATCTGATTCCATAATTTGCAGCTAACTTAATATATTTTCTGTGTTCTAAAAAAACGTAACGAAATTATTCATACAGGGTATTATCACCTGGTTAAATGATGTGTATAATTTTTTACTGCCTTTTTCAAACTTCCCTTTATCTTTTAGAAAATATATATCTCAAGTGGGTTCTAGAAGGTTTTGACAAATCCTCAAGCTAAATGACTAAATTTTGTTCGAAATTCCGTTGAAATTTGTTTTTTACGCTAACTAGAATATTACAGGCTCACATTCTACGCAACCCATTTTTATTTGACTCATGTGGTGGCGAATTTCGTTCTCAGAATGCACACATAACAAAACGTGATTTTTACTACTCAACTCTACAAAAAGTCGTTGAAACTGTTTTGATTCGTGATCCTAGTGTGACTTCTAAGGTTATATACTCTTAACCGGGAAATTAGGAAGTAAAATTTATGGGAAACTTAAGATCTTTCTTTTTTAAAAATAAAAATCTACAATGGCTTGTATTTTAAAATGTATCTAGTTATTTTATGTTATGACTATGTAGATGTAACACCATAAGTTTTTTTCTAAAATAGTCCTAAATATCATCATTCGAGAATGCTTCCGATACTCAGTTGTGTGCTATGATATATTCAATAATAATTGCCTCTATATTTTCGAATGCCATTTTACTTTTCCAAGCGACTCTTGTCCGTAAACATGCGTGGAATTGAGTGCGAATCCAGACATGGGGTTTAAGTTCATTGGTTTTTTTCTTACGTCCGGGCAATGCAAGTATGTATCCAAAGTTGATTTGACTTCACAAGACGAAAGCGATGCTGATTCTGTGTTACCAGTAGTCAGTTTACAAGAGAAATTATTCAGTCTAGCCGTGTGATTGCTGGGTCTATATCTTTCAGACTCAGATCCTGCAGCAAATAGGAGGCGAAAAACAATATTAAAATTACAACATTATCTTTCTAAACATATAGTTATGTGCATATCATACTGCAATGTGTTAATTTATTATTGGTGTAAGATGTGATAGTATCAAAACTTAAAGTAATTTGATCGCAGACTAGGTATGTACTGGATTATGGTTATGCATCATTTTTACCCCAAACGTCACATTTAATGCATTTCTTATATGCATGGTAAAGCCAGGTGGGAATACTTATGATTTAGTTCAAACTCCCTATTTATTTGTTTGTTTTTGATAAGTGTGTGAAATCGTGTATTTTAAAGTAATTAGACATACATCAGTGGTATTTATGAAATAACTTTGAGCTGTGTTTAGCACGATAAAAAGTTTAGTAACTTTCGCATCATCTTGTGGATGAAAATGTGTGTAAAATTGATTTTCTGTCTTGTTTTTATCACCTGGTACTATTTTGAAGAAACCTAGCATCTAAAAGTTCCTCCCTGAAATGAGGTAGTTCGTCATTTCAACATTCATTAACCTTTTAATCAACCTAAACTTAGCAGGATTATGTAAGTGCATATCAGTGAATGTGTCTCTACTTTCTGCTTAATCATTGATAATCTCATGTTTTTAGTTTTTCTATCGAACACTACTTGTATGAGAAAAGGATTCTTTACTAATAGTTCGAAAATTCAAATAATTACCGCTTCATGATTCTTTCGGTAAATGAAAGGGCATACATTCTTAATTTAGTAATGTACATTGGATTCACACTTCCACTAACTGTCATAATTTATAGGTGCCTAAATTTGTTAACTAACGTCTAGGACTTTTAAGCACGTTAGTTTGTTTCCGAATAAACAAAAGCTAAGGAAAGATGACGGGTCTTTCGTTTTTTTCTGCTCAAGTTTTTGAAAAGATGGTACTATTCCATGGTAAAACTGACTAGGTTAATCATTGAGTACCTATTTTTCAAGTTGCGAGCAGCAGATCATACAACTTACTCATTGGACTTGTGTTAGAGCCACAGTTGTCCCAAACTTCATTCGTGAAGAACTTTAGCTGGAGTTATTTACGCCTGTTACTCCTCGTGGAGGGACATGGGCAGCCACCAGCATTCTCCATCAAAATCAGTCCTGGGAAATCCTTTCCAGATGTTATTCTTTTGGTGTCTGCTTCCAATTCTCGACTCAGTGTGTTCTTTGGTCTCCCCCTTTTACTTTACACTTCAGGATCCCAAGTTGGCGCCTGCCTCGTGATGCATTTTGATGATTTCCCCAATATATGTCCTATTCACTTCCAACATCTTTTCCTAATTTCCTCTTCAACTGGAAGGTGGTTTGTTCTCCCACATTAGGCTGTTGCTGATGGTATCCGGTCAACGGACATTGGGTATCTTGTGTAGACAGTTGTTTATAAGTACTTGTACTGTTTTGATTATGGTTGTTATTTTAGCTCCGTACAGTACCGTCTTAACGTTCGTATTGAAGATTTTAACTTTGATACTGGTTGACGGTTGTTTTGAGTTCCATCAGTTCTCCAACTTTAGGGATGCTGCCCTTAGTTTGTCAGTCCTTGCCTTCACGTCGGCATCCGATCCTCCTTGTTTGTGAATGATGCTGTCCATGTACGTGGAAGTTCGCACCTCTTCCAGAGTTCCTCCATCAACTATGATTGGGTTGGTGTTCTCGGTGTTGTATTTGAGGATCTTGCTTTTTCCGTTGTGTATGTTGAGGCCTAGTGATGCAGAGGCTTTTGCTATACTAGTTGCTTTGTTCTGTATTTGTTGGTATGTATGAGTAGAAGGGCTAGGTCATTCGTGAAGTCTAAATCGTCTAGTTGCTCCCAAACTATCTATTGTATTCCATGCTTACGCTAAGATGTGGAGGTCCCATTTAGTTAGAGTATATCGTTAAAGGTAAAGCTAATAATTTTATCATTCGAAACGGATTGAATTAATTCATAAGTCATGTTAAATGTCTTAATACCATTTGAATTACTCATTGTCCACGGGAAGTCGTAGTATTAGAAGTTTTTTAAAATTTTTTATTAATGTTTTAGTTGACCATAAATATTCTAATTAGTCTTTTTACCAAAAATTCTAACTATTAAGATGTTTTAAACTTGTTTCGATTTCACTGACTTACACTACAGACATTTATGTTAACAACGATTACTGAAAGCCATCGGGACTTAATAAACAATAATTATGGTATCCATATAAAAGTCTTGAGTATCCACAATTAGTACAGTAATGTTCACATCTTACACTTTTGTTTAATGTGACTTTCGCCTTGCATGTTATTGTCAAACAGGACAGGACATGAGATATGAGCGGCTATTTGATAGCTTATTTTGAGGAAATCTTGTTTTTTATGGGTCTTTATTCCTAATTATGTTATCTGCTGGAAATCTTTGGTTACTAGAACTGGATTGATAGACTACCAGGTCGTTAGCTATGTAGTGTGGATCGGTCTTTAACTACAGTGACAATAATATCAAGTTACCTGCATCGCGTAATATTTGATCTGCACGTCGGCTTGCGAAATAATTACCTTGTATCCGATCATCTAGTTTAGCGTACAGTCTAGATTCTTTTTTATCGGCCAATTTCAAATCTTTTATTGCATTATATTCTACGTTACCATCTGTGGTTCCGTAATTTGAGTCATATCGATTAGACGAATTATCTGAATTCACTGAAGGCAATTGTGTATGTTCAATGACCATTTGTGGTAGGATCCATTCATTCTTTTCTGCATCAAATCTATTTTTGTTTGATAAAAAAAATTTGATGCACTCCAAACTTAACTTCAAAAGAACATAAAATATTGGATGAATAAGTCGAAAATAAATACAGTTTGAACAGGAATTTATTGTATTTTTTAAGTAGTTGGGTTCCAAGAGATACAACTGATTTATGAATTCTTATATAAATTTATATCAGTTTCCTACGTCCATTTCAATTTCAGTAAAATATAAGTTTACTGTGAACATCCGTAAACATGCTGTAGATAATATGACTAAATGGCTAGTTGAGAGATAAAATGTATACCGGTAAAATCTAGTTTATGGATAGACAAAGGTCGATAGATACACTGGAATTGAGGAGTCTATAGTGAACGAAGACCTAAGGATGACCAATTTATTGTTCGATGACAAATCATATAGTGTCTCAGTAAAGCATGAAAATCATTCGTTAAATTCATCGATTGCACATCTTTGAAATGCCTCTTACAAACTTCATCGTTCATTCACTCCTGTTGTTACATTGATTGCTATCGGTTTTCTTCTCTTGCTTTCCTTTCCTGTTGTCTTCAATCCAATCTTCTGCTGCCAGGCATTCCACTTTCGATTGGTGCTACATACTACTCATACCTGTCAGCATAAGTAGGATACACTTCAAGTCATAAAATAAGTTATTTAGGCTCAAGTAAATACAAATGCTAGGATCATAGTCGACAAGGCGTTGTTTCCTTAGGACTGTCTTGAATTTTTGGTACTAACTGTTCATAAGACTACGGAAAGGTATTAATTAAGTTCTAAAGTTCTAGTTATTTATGTAGGTTATGTGCTCCTGAAAAATAATTAACTTTAACAGAAAAGCAACTTGGTCGATAGCATTCGGTATGCACTAAGAAGGACCTGACACACATGACATCGATTACCACCCAGCGACCAATCAATTTTGAATACATCTCAGCCCTACAGGAGTTCAGTAGCGGCCCGGATAGCCCAGCAGTAACATTTCTGACATTGAAGCTGGGTGAAACAGGATCGAATCTGTCAGGGAGCACTAGTTCCCTCAAAATTACTGGTACACCTTACTGACGAGTGCCAAGTAGCACGAAACCCGGGTCCAGGGTTTCCTGTTGACTACTTTCAACCACCATCTTAGAAAAGAACCAACAGGATACATTACATGAAAATCTGTTAGCTCGAGTTGGATTGTTGTGAAATAACACAAACATTAAACAGTACCTGCTGTAACAAGAAAGCAGCGAATATCCAGTGAAAATGGTCAAGAATCTAAAGAAATAAGCTGAGTCCATTGCTTACTATGGTTGGTTTCGACTTAGAGTCTAGTCTTTAGTCATTTGTATCTATCATCCAAAGGACCCCACTTGAGAACTTACAACTCCCTATATAACTTGTATCAACGGTCAACAACTCAGTGGGTTTTGTCATCTTAACGAGTTTTCAGTGTGACCATATATATATATATATAAGCATACCTAGCATATTATTCAGCTACTCCAATAGTCCTATGTTCGTAACTTAATCGATTTAATTATCTACTTCTTTACCAATAAATATCCTCCTAACCTGTTTATCACTCAGCTAATGGTTTCAGTTATATCTACTGGAGTATACTTGCGATATACAACATGGTCTATTTCAAATGACTAAATTCCACTATCCCTGGGTTATATGGATTTAATCACTGCTCAGCTGATGCCGTTGGGTATCTCACCTGTATTAGGAGCAAGGTAAGTTACGTAGTACCAAATAAAGCTGCATTCAGTTAGAGGCTCGTCTCTGAAGACTGGGATATTTTCCTGTAGAAGCAAAGAGATCGAGAAGCTTCCTACTCTTAAACTTAATGTCGATCCAGAGCAGTTTTTGGGTACCGTCTCACATCTGACAAGTTATACGTGGTCTTGTTTAGATCTCCAGTTATTCCTCCTGAAAGTCATTTCATATAAATACGTGAAAAAGTTCACACTTACATGGCTGTTCGTTTGATTTTATCGATGTTGTAATAATTGCTATCTCTGCGTATGCATGGCTGAACCTTTTCTAAAATCATGTTCAGCAAATTTATTTGTTGTTCTTGGCGTCTTATAGTTTCCAAATAGTCACTTCGATCTTGTTCAAATTCTGACTGAACATCTTTAATTTCCATTTGTAACGCATATACCTGCACATAAAAGCAGAAGTTATAAAATAAGTTTGAGGTGAAAAGATGTATCTGTGTTTGTTTGCTCAGCAATTTACTACAATAATGGAGTTTAAGCAGTCTATGAAGCAATAAGGAAACAATATTTTTTTATACAATCAACAGGCAATACCAACCTGTTTTTGAAAGGATGGGCTTAATAATATGGGATTAGTTGTTTAACATTTGGTTTATAGGTGGATCAAATGTACACACTTCAGGTTCTAGAACATTGGGATACTTAGTGACTATTGATCATAATTATATTTCCTGACCTTAGAGTGTTGTTCGACACCTCTGACCAGAAGGTGTTTTAGGAATGTTTTTCAGTAAAAGCCGTATGAAAGAAATACATCAGCCTAGTAAAGGCTCGCTACTCAAACACTACTGGTTGAATCGGAGCTTATGGGGATTAGTTATCAAAAGTGACAATATCAAATGGTGCTCGTCAGTCTCACCCCTTACTCCTCTATTAAAGGTTTCGTCAAAGATATCCCCCAAAAAGAAGAACGTTTTTCATCTAACTTTTCAGGAACTGATCTTCCTCCTGGAAACTCAATAATCGACATAAATTACGTCGATGATATAGTCCTATTTGATGAATATATTAATACAGAGCCTCATGGACACATTGACTAACAAAGTAAGCATAATTTTAATGCGTTTTTCTCCTGAATGAAAAATGTTGCTTCAAGGACTGGTCTGTGTCATTGCCTAGATTAATCATATGGAGTAAAATAGTTGAGTGCTTTGACCATTTTACTTATCCTCGAAGTATAATCACCCCTAATGCAGTGCTATCTGATGAAGTCATGGCATAGATTCATAAAATTCTATTGGTACTTGCCAACTTGCGCCACTTGTGGTGTAGGTGAGTTACCCACCTGAGAAGCAGAAGATGAGTTTAATGTGCAGCCGTCCTCTCTATGGTACTCTATGGCAGGAAAAACAGAGGACATACGTGGGCTGCAGGTTTGTGATCATTACAATTAACTAAAACAGTGTCTAATTTTACTGCAAAATCTCAGAATATTCTGAATCTTCAAAATTAGTTAACACGCTGGCCGATGGAGACTCGTTGGTCGTAGGTCAGATAACGGGGACCGTCTACTGCAACTATGCACAGACCACAATCTGTTCCTGGCTAGCACTAACTTTCGGCACAGTCATCGCCGATGTGCCACCTGGCGTCCTCCCTCTGCATCTCAAGCCTGGACTCAGATTGATCACATCGCGATCAGCTACCGCTGGCGTGGTTGTGTACAAGACTGCCGCTCCTTTTGGAGTACCTATCTGGACTCTGACCATGCCTTGGTCTGCGCCAATCTTACCTTACTTTTCAGTGGCCAACGAAGTGATCGCCACTAACGGATTGATGTTAGCAAGCTGGTTGCAACTTCTGTTGCTAGTAAGTATCGAACCGAGCTAGTTTCTAGACTAGCATTGGTTGCAATTGCATGACGCCATGAAAATGGTGGGTACAGTCAGTTGCGGGTACGCGAAACGTCCCGCCTATAAGCACTGGGTTTCTTCAGGCTCCTTACAACTCATTGAAGCCCGTCGGTCTACTCCGGGTGACCATGAGTTTGACCATAAACGAAGGATGTTAGGTGAGGAAATTGGGCAAAGCTTGCGTAAGGACCGAGAAGCCTGGTGGTCGGAGCGTGCTAATGAGCTGGAAGCAGCAGCTGCATCTGGTAATTACCGGAAACTCTTCCAGCTCATCCGAGCCACTGGCAGCAAGAAGTCTGGTGTGAGCGAAACAACCTGCGACAATGATGGGATGCCAATCACTAACATCCATCAACGTCTTGGACGGTGGGCAGAATTTTTCGAAGGGCAGTTCAACTGGCCTGCTGCTCCGGCAACATCGATCAGACTGTCCTGCCCTCCATGGCCGTTGACGACTGATCCAGCAAATGAGGCGGAAGTTCGCAAGGAACTCCAACTCTTGAAGCGCTACAAATCACCTGGCCCAGATGACTTACCTCCGGCTCTTTTTAAAGATGGTGGTGACTTTCTGACTAAGGAACTGACGACGTTGTTTACAAACGTTTGTGAACTAGAGAGTGTACCAACGTCATGGAATAAGTCGATAGTTGTCCCTATCTTTAAAAAGGGTTCACGTCGTTCCTGTAACAACTATCGGGGGATAAGTCTACTTCCGATTGTGTCCAAGCTATTGGCTTCCATCATACTTCGTAGGTTGTTCAAAAGCCGAGAAAGATTGACTCGCGAGGAGCAGGCTGGGTTTCGTTCTGGTCGAGGATGTATTGATCATATCTCCACCCTCCACTAAATGTTAGAACACCGTCATACTTATCACAGACCAACAAATGTAGTGCTAATTGATATCAGGGCTGCCTTCGATTCGTTGGACAGGACTGTTCTCTGGGATTGTCTATTGAAGAAGGGTGTGCCTGAGAAGTTTATTAACATCCTAAAAGCCCTATATTCAAACACCTCAGGCAGAGTGAGGGCATGCAACCACCTTTCTCCGTTGTTCCATTCGAGCAGCGGGGTTAGGCAGGGTTGCCCAATCTCACCATTTCTCTTCAACTTTGCCATCGACGACATTCTGGAAACAGCTCTGGTGGATGTAAGTAATGGTGGTGTGGATCTGTTGCCTGGAGAAAGACTTCTCGACCTTGAGTATGCGGACGATATTGTCTTACTGTGCGATAATACCCAAGGCATGCAATCCGCACTTAATCAATTGGCAATCAGTGTCCGTAGGTACAGTATGTGCTTTGCACCTTCGAAGTGAAAAGTACTTCTACAAGACTGGCAGGATTCCAATCCTGTACTCACCCTGGATGGTAAGCAGATAGAAGTAGTCGAGAAGTTCGTGTATCTGGGTAGCTGCATAAGTGCTGGTGATGGTGTGAGTGATGAGATCAATGCACGTATAGTGAAAGCCAGAGCGGCATATGCCAATCTGGGCCATCATTGGCGCCTTTGTTATGTTAGTCTGGCTGTCGGTGAGAGCAGTTTTACTCTATACTTGTGAAACCTGGCCTCTCCGAGTTGAGAACGTTAGACGACTCTCTGTGTTCGATCATCGTTGTCTCCGAAGGATTGCTGATACCCAGTGGCAACACCAAGTAGTAATGCAGAGGTTCGGCATCGTGTGTTTGGGCACAGAGACGATAATGCAATTGGTGTTACCATCTTGAAACACCGACTTCGGTGGTTTGGACATAATCTACGAATGTCGTCCCTGAGAATTTAACGTCGTGCATTATTTGCTGACTCTGGGACTGGTTGGTAAAAGCGGAGAGGTGGTCAGTGTATGACATGGTGTCGTGGTATGAAGAGCTGCAAAGGACTGGCTTGTGTTGGTCCTTCTCGACTCCCTGGCTGGGGTCCGAGAGATGGTGCTACACAGTGGCTAGAGACGTTATCAGATATGGTTCAGAATAAAGACCAGTGGCGATCCTGCTGTTTTAACCTTCATTTACTTTATTCATAAAAAGTGGTTGTAACTTCCTGAACTGAAAGAATTCTTTTGGTTTGTACCTTTCCGTTCCCCCATTATTGCCATTATTATTATTACACTGCCTTACAGCAATCTCTTCGTTGTTCTCTTTTTTAACGCTACTTGCCTTTTTTCGTTTTCCTTCTCTTTAAATTCTCATTGTTTTTTGTGGCGCACTCTTGTGCCAATATTTATGTGTTCAAATAAATAAATAATAATAAAATCATGAAAGTGTACTCTCTAAAAACATGTCTGTGACAGAGTTGAATCAAATTGAGGAGAGCGGACAACCCTGACGAACATCACTTGAAGTAATCAATTCCGATGAAAGTTTCCCATAAGCTCTGACGACCAATAGTGTTCGAGTAGAGAGCCTGTACATGGTTAATGTACTTCTTTGCTACGCCCTTCAATAACAGACATTGCCACAAAACCTAATGATCAATTTATTCGAATGCCACCTTGAGGTAATGGAATATAATTAATCGGATGTCGGAAAGTATGTCTTTTTTTCCAGAACGTGCGGAAGGTTGGATATTTAATCTTTGCATCCACGTCCAGGTTTAAAACCAGTCTGGTTTCCTCGGATTTTGTTTTCACGAGCTCTCGGTAAATATCGAAGTATTATTGAGGCTAATATTTTAGACACTATATTAGTTGAATTGATTTCTCTGTGATTTTCACAAGGGGTTTTTTGTCGTTTCTTATGAACTGGGATGATTAGCGATCAAGATCAGTCAAATGGGATTACGTCTAGTTGCAGTTGAACTCTAAGGGTGCTCGAACCAGATCATGATTCAAGTCCAAACATGTGCTTCAGAGTGAGTGTTAGTCTTCTGCCGAACCCCTCCAACGGTGGTTGATGGCAGTGTGATCTATTTGAGTTCGTCGTTGTGGGGGTCGCTACGTGTGGTAGTTTCTCGTTATGTTTAAACTTGGTCTTTGCTAAAAATAGAGTTACCTGAACATAATTGCAATAGACGTTCTCCATTATCTGTTCGCTGAGTCGCCACACCGCCTTTTTTCTTTTTCCTTCTCTTTAACTTCTCATTGTTTTGTGTGGCGCATATATATTGGTGCTCTCTTGTACCAATATTTATGTGTTCAAATAAAAAAATAAAATAGTTAACACGAAGGACTTATATCTATACGTAATAAATGATAGCACCATGAGTCTATATATTCCATTGTATTTCAGATGCACTCATTTACAACCAAATAAATGATTATACGTCTAAGAAATGGGGAGATGAGAAAAATAATAAGGAAATATATTTTCATTACTGAATAATATTATCGATACAAAATGTATATCGTGTTGATAGTCTCATGGTGAATTTTCAACCAAAAGATCTTACCTTCTGTTTTTGTGACTGTAGAGCTTTATTTTTGTAATATAGTTCATCTTGTATTGTTTCATAAATATTTATCATAATGCCGTCATCTTCTAGGTTTGCATTCGCTTCAACTAATCGACGTTTTCGTTCTTCAGCATATGTTTTTCGCCTTGATATTTTCTCGTTGACCTCCTTATTTCCAGCTTGCTCACCACCGACAATATCTGCTTCCAATAATTTCAGTCTGTTGAATTGATTTAATTAATTATCACCAGATAGTATCTAGTTATTTTAAAATTATTATTTTTCGAAAGTCTGTTCAGTTTAATTAAATATAAGAGCTAAAATATAACTAACTATCTTACTTACGCCTGTTACTCCTCGTGGAGGGACATGGGCAGCCACCAGCATTCTCCATCAAAATCAGTCCTGGGAAATCCTTTCCAGATGTTATTCTTTTGGTGTCTGCTTCCAATTCTCGACTCAGTGTGTTCTTTGGTCTCCCCCTTTTACTTTACACTTCAGGATCCCAAGTTGGCGCCTGCCTCGTGATGCATTTTGATGATTTCCCCAATATATGTCCTATTCACTTCCAACATCTTTTCCTAATTTCCTCTTCAACTGGAAGGTGGTTTGTTCTCCCACATTAGGCTGTTGCTGATGGTATCCGGTCAACGGACATTGGGTATCTTGTGTAGACAGTTGTTTATAAGTACTTGTACTGTTTTGATTATGGTTGTTATTTTAGCTCCGTACAGTACCGTCTTAACGTTCGTATTGAAGATTTTAACTTTGATACTGGTTGACGGTTGTTTTGAGTTCCATCAGTTCTCCAACTTTAGGGATGCTGCCCTTAGTTTGTCAGTCCTTGCCTTCACGTCGGCATCCGATCCTCCTTGTTTGTGAATGATGCTGTCCATGTACGTGGAAGTTCGCACCTCTTCCAGAGTTCCTCCATCAACTATGATTGGGTTGGTGTTTTCCGCGTTGTGTTTAGAGATATGGCTTCATCCTCAACAATATACACATTGTTATTGTGCCGGTGAGGAATGGTTGAGATTTACAAGAAACCGAAAATATAAATAATTAGACTTACTTGATTTACACTAATTCATGTATCTTTCAAATTTTATCTACCTATTTTTATTCTTTACAAATCCTACTGTAACTGTATTTAGGCTTCTTATTGCTTATTGTTCTTTCTTTCACAATAACTTACTTACTTACGCCTGTTACTCCTCGTGGAGTAGCATAGGCCGCCAACCAGCACTCGCCATCCAACCCTGTCCTCTACAATCCTTTCCATCTCTTTCTAGTTGTTGTTAATTCTTTTCATATCCGCTTCTCTTTCCTAACGTAATGTGTTGTTTGGCCTTCCTCTTCTCCGCTTCCCTTCAGGATTCTAAGTTAGCACTTGACTCGTGATGCAGTTTGATGATTTGCGTAATGTATGTCCTATCCATTTCCATCATCTTTTCCTAATTTCCTCTTCACTTGGAAGCTGGTTTGTTCTCTCCCATAGAAGGCTGTTGCTGATAGTATCCGGCCTATGGATGTTGAGTATCTTGCGTAGACAACTATTTATAAATACTTGTAACCTCTTGATGATATTTGTAGTAGTTCTCCAAGTTTCAGCTCCGTACGGCAGAACTGTCTTGACATTCGTATTGAAGATTCTGACTTTGATATTGGTTAAAAGTTGTTTTGAGTTCCATATGTTCTTCAATTGTAGGAATTCGGCCCTTGCTTTGCCTTTCACAATGAACCAGTTACTTTATGCTGTGAGCTAAGTTAAAGTACTTAGATAAGTCTTACGCGTATTCAACATTTCCTAACCATGACGTGCTATGATTCTCAAGATATAAGTTGGTTAGAAAACAGCTAAAGATGGTTGAACCAATATACGGAATGAATCCATGAAGTTGTAGGTAAATGGATTGGTTGATACTTCATTAATAAGCTAAACGAGTAGTTAAGGACCTTAGATGTAACATCTCGAAATCACCGTCAGATTCTCGAATTTATTTATTCTCCATTTTTCATTGCATCTTGACCTAAACGTTCTCAACTTATATTATTAATCTCACTTTTAAAAAAATCTATTCTTCATGTTTAGTCTCTTACTGTCGTTGATACTTATTTGCTATAAATCTTATCAGTTTATTCTCACTGTAATGGTCCGAGATGTGATAACCTAGTTTGATACATATGTATTCCAAGTCCTGTGTTGTTTACTTTGCACTGATTTTTTCTTAGTGTTTTTCTGGTAACTGTTTAAGGTGTTTGAGGTAAATCATAAGGTAGATGCATAAACTTAGAACAACACATATAAGCGAACAATTGTTTTCAATTAGATCGTCATCAGGCTTTACTCTAATATACATGAATATTTATACGAAAATGTTAAACCAATCAAGGCAATATGAGTCAATAATCACAATGAAATAGAATAAGTCACTACACATAAAATAGGTAAAAGTACAAGTTGATAGTACGAAGACAGGTGAACAGATAGTGGTAAGAATAATAAACTATAATAACAAAACTCTTATCAATAGTTAAGCGTTGGAAATAGAAGGTCAAATAAACATGGGTAAATAGACTAGGAATAGTAATCACAAAACCTTAAAAATCATTACGTAATAAGATGTGTGTAAATAATTAGATAGTGAAGAATACAAAGAGGCGGATAATGACAAACAAATAATGGATGTGGAAATAAGGTTAACAATAACACAAATAGAATAAAATAAATAATGATTATAATAAAATTTAAAATAAAAATAAAAAATAAAAATAAAATAAAATAAAAAATAAAAAATAAAAAAATGTTAGTTAAGTTATAACTGGCCATGGAAGGGATAGGGGAGTCACGTATTTCTTCTGTACACATAGATTGGGGTTATATGTATGAATTCCAATGGCTTCAGCTATATATAGGAGACGGGAACGGACTCCGTCGGGAAATGATGGAGGTATACGATAGATAACTCGAAATGATTTCGATTTCTCTACTGTATGACCGCTATCAATAAGATGTGCTAGTATAGAACTCCGAATAGTTTTTCTCTGACCCTTTATGTACCAAGTTGGTAAATGTTCACTCATTCGTTGGTTAAGTTGCCTGGTAGTAAGCCTGATGACGATCTAATTGAAAACAATTGTTCGCTTATATGTGTTGTTCTAATTTTCACAATGCGAATCTTTAATATTCTAAGATGCATAAACATCGAAAAACTGATCACGTTTCCAAACTAGAAATTTAAATATGAGCCTACTGAAGTTCGTTGATAAACCAGTCGTATGACTGATTCAAGGAGAAAACGAATGTACAGAAGAAATGAAATGATTGATTAATTTTAAAAACAATAATAAAACGAATAGAATATCTTGTACGTAATTAAATGAACAAATTGTATAAAATTTATAAACAACAAACCTTTTCAGTAGTTCATCTTTTGTTACTTCCTCATCATATGTATCAATACGTACATTAGTGTCGTTTTGTGTTACAATTTGTCGTTGGATTTTATCGTCTGATATTTCTATCAACTCTTCCGTTTGATCTAAGTCTGTTATATGAGGTGTTACATAAATTAGAACAAATAACAAGGAGAAAGGATGTGCATATTTGAAGAAACGATTACTGAGTCATAAATTCAAGGTGGGTTAACTTTTATATTGACGTACGTAATACGGTGTACATTGAAAGTGAATACGAGTTTCACTTTAATAAATAATAGACTTGTATTTTTTAAATTACAAAACAAAATAAATATTTCTAGAAAGTTAAGATATTAGTGATTGTTTGGCTGACACTCCTGATTGTTTCCAATTCCTACCCTCACATAGTTAAACAAATTGACACCGGTGTTAGAACATTGAAGGCTACTTAGAGAACTACAAAATAAATGGGAGTTAGTGGGGTTTAGTAAACAAAATTTAACTTTTTTGGAAGAAGTATACGAGGAATTTCATTTGATTGGTGTAATGCTGGTCGATTTTGTCGACTTAATGATTCAGTTCAGCAAAATAGTAGTCAAATATGTAACGATATGTTAATAATTTAAATAAGATTTTAAAATGTGTATCTGACATTCACACGTGATTAATTTGACTATAACTATTAATTTGAGACTCATTATTAATCTTTAGTCAAGAGATAATTGTTACCGAAGACCAAATCAACTGTAGCTGAACTACAGCTATTTGTTGTTTTGTAAATGTGTATTTTCATAAGCTTTAAAGAGAATGTTGACTGACTCACGAAATCGATCAACTTCCACGCAAATTAGGATTGTTCAAGCAGAGAGAAAAAAGTGCAAAGAGGTTTAAGAGGATGGTTGCATGATGATTGTTGCAGTGGAAAAAATCACATGCAAAGTTTTGAGATGAGTAGGTTTTGTTGTATCACAATGTGAGAGCCTAATCGAGTGTGTAAAAACATACTACACCAGCTGGATAGATGCATTTGTAAATAATCATTTTAAGTGTTATCGACATATATATATATACTGTCTTACCACCAAAGTCTTAAATTCTCGGGTCATTACAATTAGTTGCTCAGCAACTTAATTGTTCTCTAAAGTTGATTTCTTTGGATATTTCTATAGATTTCATGTTTCCCTGGTAATTTCATGAGGTTAACCTCTTTATTCTTACTTATCTTTATAAGTTACAAGTACCAGTAATATGGAATTAACGATGTTTACTACATAACAATATTTCAATGGTTTACTTATCAAAGTAATTAATAATAAATATTTTTATCGGAAGGGGTTTTGTGGAGATTGTAGTAATTTAAATAGTTGAAATCTTGAGTCAAATGAAGCTAGACCACCATGGAAAACCTGGATGCACTGGAAGGCTGTTTCGTCCTACTAAGCATCCAGTGTGCTTCCCGGTTTTCCATGGTGGTCTAGCTTCAATTGACTCATGGTCTCAACTATTGAAATTATTATTTTTGCTAATGTTAACAGTGAAGTTTGTTCACAATTACAGTTACAGTAGGTTAACTTACATAGCAAAAAATTTTTCACTTTTGATAGTCTGTGTGGTTTGTAAATTAAGATTAATTCTACGATTGATTAAGTAAACAACGTCATTTTAAACAGTGTAATGGTTCACAATAGAAATAAAACATGGGCTGTTGAACTATTCATGAAAATAAACAATGGAACTGACTTACTAATCATAAATAACTTTGAAACTTACGCTGATTCGTTGATGGCTGTAAATTTTGATGGCTATTCAATTGCATGAGTTTGGCATCATATAATTCTTTTAGATCGGTTATATCCTTTAGCATTTTAGCTTTATCATCTGTTTCAGCACTATACTGGGCTTTCATAGATTGCAATTTTAGTTCATAATCCTGTATTTATTAAAAAAAATCATTTAAGTGGTTTTGGTGTGAGATAAAATTCAGAGAAAATAAACAGTGGAAAATCTTCGAAATTAATACTAAAAGTTTCTGATTTACACTCATTTATAGCATGCTAATTTAACGGTTTCGAAATAGTTCAAAAGCTGACCACTACACAGAGCAAGAATAATAATAGTAATAATAGTAATAATGTGTCCGGAACAATAATTAAGTTTTTGCAATTAAACCATTCAGATCATAGAACACAACACTAAAAGACGGTAGAAATTTTTAAAACAAAAGATGGAACAAAACCTCATTTATTTCAGGACCTTATCAGTCTGTTGTGTTATCGTAACAAAACATAAACCGAAAATTGATCATTATTCTATATGAGTCATTAAGATTTTGTATCATTTACCTTACACTTATTTACAATGTACTTACTGTAGGCTACTAGTAGATATATTAATTTACAAGAAAATATTATATAAAATAATTGTTTAAGCTTACTTTTCTTAATTTTTCTTTCTCAGTTTCAGTATCCTCTATTTCAATATTTTCTTTTCCATTGAAATATTTAAGATTTCCTTTAGGTGCCTGCATATTATTTAACAATTCTTTAAGATGCTTGATTTCTTCTTGATATTGACGTAGAAGCGCATCCTTTGGATCTTCATTGATTTTCGGTTTATTACGTATATTTTTTGCTCGATTAGCATATCGTAAAGTACTCAATGTTTCGTCATAGTTATTGTCTGCTGGTGACAAACAAGCTATCATAAGAGTTTTTGTATTTCCTCCCAAAGAATCCTGTTTGAGCAGTTGTAAATGAGGAAACGAAAGTTCGATTGCCTGATGAAGATATCCTGGTAAAGTTTGTAAATATGTAATGAAATACGAAGTGCTATTGATTGAAGTAATTCTAAGGGTACCAGTTACTATATGGGTGTTAGATTACTAGACATAGACAAGTTGACAAGTTGATTTATTTTTAAGGATACTTAACTACTTAAAATCTAAAGGGTTTATATCGAGTCATTTAACCGTTAGATGAACAACGAAACCAAGTAGATTTTAGAGATTATCCCGCATACAAGTGAGCTGTTTGAGTAGCTGAACGTGAAGCTGAGCGTAATTTAAATCTATTCAGGGGGAAAACGATTATGTATCTCCTCATTTACCATATGGTTCAGCTTAGTATTTTTGATAGTTGATATATATTAATGTATGTAGTTTGTATTCGTCACGGATTGATATAAGTTGAGGTACCGTTGAAAATTGGGCAGGACTAGAAGGCCGTTTCGTTCAACTGAGCATTTGATCAGTAGTTCTGTCTCATGAAATATTTTCAGTTAAGATATCTGGATTGTTCACCTGAGCAGATCATTAATTTGATAGCTTCAGTAGTTCAATATCTTATCAACTCACTTATTCCATCAACAGTAAATCGATAAACGTTGAGGGAAGAGTTATGTAGTTAATTTTTCTGCCCTGGTATAACTATATGTTGCCAGTGTATGAATCTAAAGATTTTGAATGAAATAAATTTTTTGCCTATTTATCAGTGGTTTGTTGTTTCAAAATAAGCACACAATTATTTATTGATATATCCTGCGTTAAATCGTTGAATAACTTTTTCAGTCAATCAGTTATAAACAATGTAGAGAATAACATTTTCAGCCAATAAGTTTTGGAATATTTACACAACATACAAATAAAAGATTGAAATTAGGTGAAAATAATCTGTTGCTTCTTTACTATAGTATTGTAAGCGGTCTGTTTAGATCAACTGGTTCAAAATAAATGTTGACGATACTTACAAAATGAAATCAGTGCATTAAAAAATAGGGACACTTTTGTAATTAGACGAAGATATATATTTAACGGTTAGTTAGGATAGTATTATCTAGTTTAGCTCTGCATACAGTTACAGAAATATTTAATGGTTATCTATGTTTTCCTATAAATGTACTTACTTGGAATATCGTGTGATGAAATAAGATATAAAAACAGTCACCATCTAGTTAGAAATACCCAATTTCTAACGATATTTAACTAAATACCATCAAAAGTCTCAGCAATTGTCTAAGTTTTTACTATTTATCTATATCCTTCATTGGTTTTTTTACTTTAAAGTTCAAAAGTACTTTGTTTGCAGTAAAGTATGAAAAGTGATTAATATCAAAAGTTTCTCATAACATTAATTAATTAATTGACTTTCATTCTTAAAATGTGCTTTATCAAATGTAAATGTAATCTTTTTTGTACAAAGTTAGTGTTAGTGCACAATTCATAATAAGCAGAACTTTTGTTCACTTGGTATTGTTTTACTTGAATCTTCCAATTGATGTTTTAGGACTGAAATTGATCAGTCTCTTATTGGCATATGTGCATACTGTGTGTATGCCTCGATATTGCCTTAATTTACAAGTACTATAAGCAAAGATGGATAGTGGCTAGCAGTGGAGTCCAGGAAGCGCGTTTCGTCCCATTGCACAAGCAAGTGGCTATCAGGACTCAGTAGCTGAGTGGATAACGCGATGGCGTCAGGACTGAACGGTAGTGAGTTCGAGTCCCAGAGTGAACATCAACTCTGAGATGCAGGTACATCCGGCTGACGAGTCCCAAACACGACGAAATGCGCGTCCTGGATTCCACTGCTAGCCACAATCCATCTTTGCTTATAGAACTTTTGTTGTTTAGGTTAAATATTATGCCTAATCCATGAGTCATATTTCAATCATATCAAGTTGTTAACATAGTCTATATTTCCATACTGAAATAACTAAAACCAAGAGAAAGTAAAATGATTTAAATGATTCAATACGTCATTCTAGTTCTCAAAATTTAAAACTCATCAATATATAAAGATGACAGTTATTGAAAAACATGATGTGTATTTTACTCAAAAATAATATACAATTATCAATATCATTGTAGGTGTCATTACCAAGGTTTGATTTGATAATTTCGAATAAATTGAGCATTGGGTTGATTGTTATAAATAAAAATAATATATTTGTAATATCCCAATGAGTAGAAAATTGGATTTTCTGACGTTTCGTGGCTTAGTGTAAGTCACTTCTTCAGAGAATAAATAACCAAATTAAAATTAATCCAAGTTTAAATAGTACTATTTAAACTTGGATTAATTTTAATTTGGTTATTTATTCTCTGAAGAAGTGACTTACACTAAGCCACGAAACGTCAGAAAATCCAATTTTCTACTCATTGGGATATTACAAATATATTATTTTTATTTATATCAATATCATTGTTACAACAAAATATAGTATATTTACAATATTTTTTAAAATAGAGAAATGAAGTTATAATATTTCACAAGGTGGTGTACATCGTCTTTTTAGAGAATAAATAACTTTTCTGTAGAAGCTGAAGTAGTAAGACAGAAACATAAGCTAAGAATTTTAGGCTTGTTATTATCAGGTTTGTCACTGGTGACCTATAAGTTAAGCCCCAGGTGGTAGAAAAATCCAGTGATATGATCTGGCTGAACGGTAGCTGCACTTGCAACTGTATTATTAACCTAAGTCCTTAAGTGATTGCCAATTGAAGAAAAGACCAGTAGTCGGATAAACAGACTTTATGTCATAAAATAATATGCTTATTCACAGAAAATGAATGCAAAATAAGCGTGATAAGTCACATGTGATTGAAGAGAATTAGCTTATAGATCATTCATTCCTCAATTAATAAAGAACTGAGTGTTAAACCCATTTCTTGGAAATCGTATCAGATGTATACCTAATGAGTATTCATATGTATGTGGACGGGTTTGAATAGATGAGAGATAAATGGTGTGACTAAATGATTAGTTGTATATGTGCACATGCAGTATGATATTGATGAGTTTGGATATAAGTTAGGAATTGATTACTCAAATCGGTTGGTTAGTGAAACTGGGTTCGAGTCAAAGAGTGAACTGTTACTATGAAATTCAAGTGTATCTAGCCGACGAGTCCCAAATAAGACAAAACGTACGTCCTCGCTTCTACTGTTAGCCACCATCCATCCCTGCTCATAATACTTGTTACTTACTGGTAATATCTATGCAATCCGCACGTATACCTAAAGCGACTGATCAATCACAGTCCTAAAACTCAATGATAAGACCCAAACAATCAATATATGTGAAACATATTGCTACAATAAATTCTTGAAAATACTCAGACCGAATCGCAACACAAGATTTGATGCAAATGTTCAAAATAATTAAGTATTATTTAGATATAAAGGTCAGACATATTCTAAAAATCTATATCTTTTTAAAGGCTAACCTGTAACAGTCGAGTCAACTTGCTGTCACGGTAAGGTATATGTTTGATTTTGGAATCAACCAACGCTGAAATGACATTACCCAATGCTGATAAACTAAGATTAATTTTCGTAGCTTCTTTAAAACGATCACCAGTTGCACCAGTTTTTGTTTGTCTTTCAGAGCCCGCCAAATCAACTAGATTTAATTTACCGGCCCTTATATGGTTGTAATCAAGCAGATTGTCACTTCGATCAATCATTTCTAAGTAGATCGTGAAAATAGAGTGTGATCGACTACTGTCAGCGTTCATTAATGTTGCTCCAGTTGAACGATTTTTCCATCCACGTTCCATTATATTCTGAAATGAAATATAATTTAGACAACTTAATTTTCGTTTTTTAAACAGTTTAGTTCCTGGTCTATGTACCAGCTTTTAAAAAGAATGTGTAAAATAGCAGAAGTACGAAATTTTGGATTTATAAAACAGTTTTGTGTCAGCGTTCATACTAATGAAAATAAAAAATGTTATAAGCGGATTGAAACTTAGCTTTACTCAAGATCTACTATCTAGCATAAATTATGTATTTATATTTAAGATGATGAGTCTTTTAGGATAGACGGGGAATGAATTGCTAGGTAGTAAAATGAACTATGAGAAATATCAATGTCGGGATTTATGGAATCATGTTTGCAAAAAAACTCACTGGTAATGACAAAGAATCTAGTTTTGATTAAATTGACATTTCTGTATAAGATTCTGTCAACCAGGTCCGATGAGAAGGTGCAATGAAACAAAAAAGGAATTAACCTGAGATATTTTAGCACTACAATCATGTATTTGATGATTCCCATTTCAAATGAACATTGATGATTCAGAAACAATTTTCACCTTCAACTTACACCTTTATTCTTACTTCATATAAACAAATTAACACCTAATTTCAACTACTGATAACCCAATCTTACACATACACACACATTCATTTATTTATTTTCACATTGTGAACGTTTCACATGATTCGCATATAACCGACTCGTGTTATCCTATTTACTAGAATCAGCATCTAATTATGATTGGACTAGCACAGTATAGATTTGATTGTTAATCGCTATATATTTCTTTGATGATTTTAATTTTGATTATTATCTTGAAGAAGTCCAGGCAAGATTTCTAGACGAACCGTTGGAATTATTTAAATTCTAATCGCTGAGATTAATTCAAATATAATTTTTACATAAAATGAATTCTCTATACTCGGCGCTCAATTTTTGTAAAACTAATATTGACAAATATTCGTAGAAAAAGGGTTAATTATTTAGTGAGTCATAGCAAAGCAAATATATATTCAACGGAGTCGAGTCGACTTGTAACTAAATGCTTTACATGCCCAAATACCTCTGATTACCAAGATCGAGACAACAGAGAGTGAGTGACGAGCTTCATGAGGTGAATTTGAAGGATTCTTTTTGATAACTACGTAAGTTGTATAAAACATTTATTTCATATAATCATGTAGAGCTTTTACCAACCAATATTTAAGTTTATTTTTTAGGGTTTGGCATATTTGTGAATCGATAAGAAGCGCTCAATACCTAACTGACCAAGATAAACTGGAATGATCAGTATTGAAATCTTTGGACTTTTACATAAACCCAATATACGTATGGAAAATTAAATGATTTAATCATTATCAAGTAGTTCTTTGGGTTTAATCTAAAACAAACATTTGTCACATCCTGTGTTATTTATTGTTTCAATTATATTATTTTTCAGCTAGAAAATAACTAGTTGTATGTGGTATTTTGTTAAGCTTTTCTTTATGATGTTACTTCATATCCGTCGTTAGTTACTATAATAAGATGTCATCCTCAGTTTTTAGTGCTGTTGTCACTCCTACAACACAAACCACCCACAATTTTAGGTATAACATTCGAAACTCCATTTGGTTAAAAGGACTTTTAGTGTGAGGCTTTGAAAATTAAGAAGTAAAATGGTTAAAAATATAGAAAAATTTCGACGTCTTTTATTTCAGTTTTAGACAAAAGAGTAAAAGATAACACTATATTTCGTGCTAATTGTTATTAATACAGGGTTAGCACGAGATATCTTAGTGGCCTACAAAACTTTTAATGATAAGTCACTACCTGACATTCTGCAACTGAAGTTATTTTATGCATTGACAAGCCAGCAACGTAAACTCCTTTATCTGGATTCTCCTTTAGCTCTAATTTAGCTCTGTAGTCATGTCCCAAGAGGTCACGAACTTCTTCATTGTAAATTTCCAGAAATGATGCGTGGACCAAATATTTTGTCTTCTCACTTACAGACATAGTCTCAAATATTTGATCAAATGCACTGCGATTCAAAGAAATAGAAGCTACAAGTTATTGCGATACGTTGGTACGGTATCATCAAAATTCAGTGGTGAAAATAGGATTGTCATAAAATTGACAGTGTCCCTAAATAGGAATAAATCTGTTATTGCGATTTAAATGCTCTACAATTGTCCTATTAGTCATTATATTTTGAAGTACATGGTGTAACCCATTCTTTTAGAACTTGAGCTGGGCTTTACTTAAACTTATGGTTCGCTACTTCAAATGAAGTTGTTTGTTCGAAGTCTAAAAACTAGTCAAGCTGAAGGCTTTACAATTACCATACATCATGATAGTCAGATGCAGCTAAATAAGGAATCTGAACTTGAGTGTTTGGCAAAAATAAAAACTACGGATCATGAGAAATTGGTAAGTTTTTTAAACCAAGTACAGAGTCCATAAAATATTGTTCGATTTCGTTACTGATAATCTTTATTGATATGAAAACAAGATTAGAAGGGCAAAACTAATTCACTGTACTTGCTGTTCTCGCTATAGCCATTATATATATATATATATATATATATATATATATATATATATATCTTAAATCGACGTGCAGAAAATGATTTGGAGGAAAATGAGTTATTTGTTGATTTAATGATTTATAAAGTAATCCCTTAAGGCATTATATGACAGTTGAAAAATCGCAAAACTTTATTTTGTTTTTAAAGACGTTTTTTTGATATAGGAATGGTGAATGAGCCAACTCCTATGATAAAATACTGAAGAAAACATAGTGACCAAATATTCCTTTAGGTAATTGTATTTTATACAAATGATTTTTCATCATCAGCAATGCCCAAGACAAACTTTAACATTATATAACTGTTCTCTCTTAACCTGATTTTCGATTTGTAATCTGAGTAGGAGAAACTTAGGTGTTACGATCACCGGCAACAGTTATTTGTTAACAGTTCAAAATCTTCTTCATATAACGTTGAAATATGCTTAATGACCTCCATATCCGGCATCCACGTTCATTTTAAAATACCTATCAAGTTTATGAGCTATAATCTTGTACACATAGATTTTCTTTCCTAGCAAATGTCTTTTTAGCTCGGTAAGCAGTTTAATTCAGATCGATGAGCTGTTTTAATACGAAAAGACCTTTGTGTAATTTTCGTTTTATAACCTAATTTTAATTACCGGGGAATTACTCCTTTTTGGAATGGTGGCTCATGTACTCCCTGCATAGTGTAAGATTTTCCACAGCCGGTTTGTCCATAGGCGAATATTGTGCCATTGTAGCCCTCAGTAACCCCTTCTACTAGAGGGTAACACGCATCATTGTATATTTGTTCGGTAGTTGAATTTTGATCATATGATCCATCAAAGAAAAATATTTTTGGTGGACGTTTTTTGTCGTTTGGGCTTATAAGCGAACACTGGCCAGTATCGCTGAATACCTCGAGAATATTATCACATTTGAGTAAATGTTCACGTTCGTTTAGTGGTCGTGCTCTGACAACAACTTTCACAGCTTCTGAGCCCATTATTGCACAAAAATTCACTATTGGAAGATATAAATAGATTTTAATACCGCAACGATACCTTTGAGATATTTGTAGGTTTTAGTTTAATTTGTAGGTACGTTGTGTTCGGTGAATGGGAAGGATTAATATGAAGAAGACGGAAGAAAGTGAATGGTTATGGCCTAGTAGGCATTTGATGGACCTTCAGCTAACAACGAAAGCAATAATTAGCAATAAGAAATAGTTATGGTGTGAAGTTTGAACCGTTCGACGACGGAAACTAATAGCTCATAGTGTTAGCTTTCGGACGCGTTACACCCTAGTCATTTAATTGGATTTTAAGGTCACTGGACAACTTGTTGTTATAGAGCTGGTGATTAAAACAAGATTCTTCAAACTGTATGAATGAGGCAGAAGACATTTATGTCCAATAACAGGTGATTATTGTTACTTTTAGATAGAGACATGAGTATATGAAACGAAAATGAATGAGTTGTATCATCAAATTATTTTGATATTTTTGTGACAATATAAATGGTTCAAATGGTTCAAATGGTTGTGGACGGAATAGAAGAAGCTTTCGCTTAACAGGCTTCCGTGTCTAGTAGCAGGGGATCACCAAATCCTCCAGGCAGGAACCTAGGTATGTTAACAATAAAAGAGGAAAAGAAATTGGTAAATCATAGTGCGAAGCTGTCCTTGGTCCTTAAGAATAGGTCAAGTTGCCTCTTGAAGGACTCCTGAGAAGTCGCTTGGACTAGCTCGGCCGGCAGCGAGTTCCAGCTTTTGACAACTGTTAAGGAGTAGAAGTTGTGTCTACATTCCGTCTTGCTATGTTGTGTTTCCAGTTTCTGGGTGTTACCCCTTAGGTTATTGTTCGAACTAAGCTTAAGTAGGTGTTTAAGAGGATGTCCAGAAGTGTTAAGAATACTATAAGCCATTAATAAATCACCTCTAAGACGCCTATATTCTAGTGGGTAAAGGTCTAGTGAACGGAGGCGTTCTTCGTAAGGCTTAGATTTGAGTCCTCGAACTGATTTCGTGGCTCGCCGTTGGATACGCTCCAAAGTGACCTTATCCTTTTGGAGTGAGGGGGGGAGTACTATGTTTCCGTACTCTAAATGGGGACGGATGAAACTATTGAAGATTGTGTGGAAGGTTCTTCCGTCAAACTGGCCAAAATTGCGCCTCAACGTTACCAGTGCAAGGTTTGCTCGGAAGGCATTTTTGTCACAGTTAGCGTAAGACTTCAAATCATGGGGCACCAGGACTCCTAAATCTTTTTCGACTTGGGATACTACTAGAGAGGAGTTTTCCAAGTTGTAACTGTAGTTTGCGACATGTTGCAGATGGACTACTTTACACTTTGAAGTGTTAAAGGTAGGTCCGTTATCGTCCGCCCAACTTTGAAGTCGAGTCAGATCCTCCTGAAGTGCCTGTATATCGTCTTGGTTGCGTATCTCTCTCCAAAGTTTCACGTCGTCGGCAAAAAGTAATAAGTCTGACGTTACCTGTTGAGGAAGATCATTTATGTAGATCAAGAAGAGAAGAGGCCCTAGTACTGAGCCCTGGGGGACCCCACTAGGACATTCCATAGCTTGAGATAAAGTGAAATTAACCCTAACCTTAAAGTGTCGATTTTTTAGGTATGAATTAAGCCAGTCGATTAGAGGTGGTTTGATACCTAGTTGTTTGAGCTTGTTGATAAGACACAAGTGGTTAACCTTATCAAAAGCTTTTGAGAAATCAAGGTAAATGACATCAACCTTTCCCTTGCGATCGAGGATGCTTGTCTATCTGTCCACCGCAGTCAACAGGTTGGTTATACAAGAGTAACCCTTACTGAAACCATGCTGTTGGGGTGAGAAGAAATTTAAGGACAGTAGATAGTCGTTTAAACCGTCGCATATCAGGGACTCCATGAGTTTTGAAGGTAATGACAGAAGAGTCACCGGCCGATAACTTGAAGGTTCATTGTGTCGACCACCTTTGAAAATTGGTGTGATGTGAGCCAACTTCCAATTTTCCGGTAGTTTGCCTCGGCTAAGCGAGTGTGAAAACATCACGCTAAGCGGCGTTGCCAGGATTGAGGCTGCCTCCCTCAGTATGGCAGGATGAACCATATCCGGGCCAGGAGAAGTGTCAAGTCTTAAGTGCTGCAGTTTCCGGAACACCAAGTCAGCGCTTAGGTCCACTTCAGAAAGTCCTGTGGAATTGCAGATGAAACTGTCGTCAATAAAGTTGATATCAGCCGGTTGAAATGTTTGAGAGTAATGTGCCGCCAGAAGGTTAGCGGCGTCGCCATCGTTGTTGGTCGGGCCGTTAGGACCTAGCAGTTGAGAAACTCCTGTTTTGGCTTGACGAAGAGAGGCTGCATAACGGAATAGGCTTCTAGGGTTAGAGGCTAATTTGTCCATAAGCTTTGTTTGGTACTGAAGCCTGTCTTCTCTTATAGCCTTCGTGCATGTGTTCCTGATATGTTTGTATTGCCTATACGCTCCATCGTTATTAGTTCGTTTGTATTCCGCCCAACAGTGCCGTTTGCGGCTTAGGAGGCGAAGGGTACGGTTCTTGATTACTGTAGGTGGCTTGAAGCTTTTGGGAACCGTTTGAGGAACTGAATGGTCTGTAGCACGTAAGAGCGTGTGCAGCAAGAAGTCCCAATGACCGTCCACATCGAGTTGAGGGTGAACATCCCAAACCACCTGTTGTAGATGGTCATGTAGAGCTGGCATATTCAGCCGTTTAAAATTCCAACGCAAATTATTGTTGGGATACCTTAGCTTAGTTCTGATGACAAAACTGAAGGCTATGACGGCATGATCGCTTTTTCCCAGAGGAGCCAGGATTGAGAGGTTGTCGACTAGGAATTCTTCGTTAGTGAATACACAGTCTAAGCGCGATGGTGTCTGACTGTTTCTTCAACGAGTTGCCGACCTCACATTTTCATATAAGCCCAAGTTATCGATGAGGTTGAAGAACCGAGCTTCAGTTGAGTTGTCGCCTCCAGTGTACGTGTGTTCCGCGAAGTTGACTCTAGGGAGATTAAAGTGCCCTAGAATCAGGATGTGTGTGAAACCGAGACGGATAGAGCGGGATAGTCCTTCCAGCATACGACTATCGTACTCGGTGTCGGCAGTTGGCTTCCTGTAAATGACTCCGACTAGACACCTGGAAGTACTAGACAACCTTACAGAGCACCATATGGATTCCTCAAGATTGCTAAACTCGAGGTTGTGAACCTGGTGCACCTCCAAGCAAGAGCTTATGTATATGGCTACTCCGCCCCCAATTCCTATTTTTCTGTCGTTGCGGAACAAAGTCATCCCAGGTAATGCTAACTCTTGATCCGAGAACTGAGAAGATATCCAGGTTTCAGATATTCCTATCAGATGGGCCTTGTTAGCGTTGCTAAGTTCACGTAGTTCATCCAGTTTGTTTGGTAAACTCGCGGCGTTCATATATAATCAGTTTATGCTTTCAATTTGGAACGCATGAGCTTCGTCCTGTTTTTCTGTATGAACCTTATGTGAATGGACAGGTAGCCCACCTATATGAGGTTTGCCGAGGTGGTAGGCCCTGTCCTTTACACGTTTTTTTTATCGTTTAGACAGTCCACAAGTGGAATGGTCAGCTCCAACTTGCCTTTGTTCTTGGTCCTGACTTCGTATGGCCTATCCGGGTGCATGTGGATTCCAGGTGGCAATCGACGTCTATTAGCACGAAATGCTTCCAGAACTGCAGCCGCCATGTGGTAAGATGGGAAGGTTATCTTCATTAGACGGGGTCTAAGATCACCGTCCTTCTTGGCTAGTCTCGTCACATGCTCAGTCAGTATGTGTTTGAGCCTCAAGGACTGTTTGATGAATTTCCATTCCCTGATGTCAGAATTTGATTGAGTAGGGTCTGCATTTTCCGGTATACCTTGGACAATTATGTTTCTTCCGCGGAAGAACTTCTCGCGAGATTCTTTAGGGACGTTTCGTATGATATTGCGCTCAGAGTACGGTATGTCGGGCAATATTCTTACGTTACCATCTGATTTCAGTAAGTGACTTGCTAGCAAGACGTCCTCTACGTCGGTAGCATCCTTAAGTGTTACTCGGAGAAGCCTCGGGTGATTTAGATGCTTAGAATCCTTTCCTCGAGTGAGCCGGGTGACCGTCAAAGGCTCTATTCTAGGAAGTTCGAGCTTCTTGTTCAATTCACCCCACAGCATCCTGTCGTTTTTATCCTGCAGACTGAGAGGAAGGTCAGGATTGTCGACGAGGTTCATGATAATGAGAGAATCGTCACGAACTGTTGTTAATTTACCAGGTTTCACGATGGGTTCAGGTTTAATAACTTGTTGTTTGGAGGTCAGTGTGCGTTTTTGAATCTTGGGCTCTTTATTGAGCGGACGAACAGTCTTGGGGGTAGACTGTGCGACTAAATCACCAGTTATTTTCCGTGCAGCAACACTTGGGTTGCTCGGCTTAGGCGGTGATGCCTGGTTCTTTTGGGCTCTCTTAACGTGGGTCGAATCACCTGCAGGGTTTTTGGGAACCACTGTTGTGTTCAGGGACCCTGAGCTGGGAGACCCGAGTTTGCCTAGGGAGTCTAGTACCGTCGACGTAATCATGGTACTGAGCCTCGACACGTCGTCATTAGTGTTGATGGATGCTCCATCGATGGTATACCTATGGACATCCCTATTTTTGAGTCCGTTGCGCGCTCTTGTTTGTATATTGGTTTTTTTACTGTCGTGTTCCAAGTTAACTGACAGCTTATTCCGAAGACCTGTCAGTAGGACAATGATGTTACTCAGCAAGACTACTGCGTCCGTGTTGCACGTGACACATACCCACTTTTGGTCTGACTTGCTGAGTCTGTTGTAAGCAGTTGCTGTCAGATTTGTGCATGCTTCGTGGAACCAACCTTTGCAGTTGTCGCACTGCATGCCAGTTGTGACAGCAAAACGGCATCCCGGACGTTTGCATGAGTTTTTCATGACGGTGTTGAAGCAAACTATGTTATAGATGCTTGCAAAAGCTTAAGACCTTTTTTAAAAAAAACAACACTAAAATGCACACTGAAAACGGACAAAAATGGACAAAACGAGTGATATAAACTGAAACTAGTCTATACGTGAAAAACAAAAAAAAACCGAATAGTAAGCTGAGGCAAAACCACAGGTAACTATTAAATATAGTGAAACTAAAAAAAAAGTAATCTACCGAACGTATAGCTCAGGATAGATTCTTTAGAACTGAAATGGTACTTTTGTTGCGTAAGAACACAGCAAAAGTTTGATATATGCAAATCACGTTAGGACTAAACTTCCCGTTCAAAAA